CCCCCACCCAGTGCACATACCATAGAGAACGAGCCAGCTGCCCAGAGGAAATGCCCTGTCCCCTGGGTGTGGGCGGGGCTGGGCCCCCTGCAGCGCCCCCAGGGGGCAGGCCCCAGCTGTGCTGCTCTCCGGCTCCCCCCCACGCAGGGGCCCTGCTCTGGTCGTGACACCTCCCCCCCATGGGGGCCCCCTCCAGGCAGCAGGGCCCCCCAGCAGGACAGGCTGGGAGAGCCAAGCTCCCTGCCCTCCCCCAGCCGTGACCCCCTGACCCCAGCTGCCCCCAGGGGCAGGGGATGCCAGGACCCAGGAAGAGGGTCAGCGGCGGGGACGTGCCCCATTATTTCCTACCACGTCTCCGTAGCCGAAGAGCTGGTACAGCTCCTTTCGGGGCTTCTCCACCTCCACTGACGTAGAGACTCTCTGGTGGGCTGGGCAGGTCCGGTTATACTCCTCCACGCGCTGGATCATTTTCACCTGCTCCGCAGCGTTCCTGCCCTGGAAGCAGGACAAGCTTTCAGCAAGGCCAGGGCAGTATCCCTGACCCCCTGCGCCCACGGGCCTGGGCACAGCACGCCAGCCTGGCCTGGGGCTGGGTGCCACGGCATGGACTAGCGAAGCAGCGCCTCAGTGCAGACCCCAGCCTAAGCCACCCGGCAGCTTGTGCTGCATGGGAAGGTGGGCTGGGCTGGGCCATGTGGCCACAGAACGGGAGTGAGCACGAGCAATTGGGGCTTGTCTACACAGGGCTACCCAGCACCAAGCACTCAGTCCAGATAACAGCATCCACACCCGGCCACTCAGGAGCAAGGTCCCGCGCGGAGCAGCCTGCGAAGAGGGAAGTGTAGAGCAGAGAGCAGCAAGCCGGCGCATCTGCCTCCCATCCCACCTCCAGGACTCCCAGCCCCGAACCAGAAGCACGGGGGCCAGTCTCTATTCCAGGTCACTCAGGCCCCTCCGTCACTAAATCCTGCTGCTGCTGCCACCCCCTTGCGACTCCGAGCCGCCCCTTCCTTTCTGTGCCAATGAGCGAGTGTTTGGCCATGCCTTCGTCTCCTGCGGGGCTACCGTAACCACCCCTCTCTGGCCACCCCAGCCCTATTCCACTCCTCACCAGCCCGCTGCCTGGCCCACTCCTCATCTCAGCTCCTGGTGCCACCATGACATGGCCCCTGGGCTGGGCAGCACTCCCATGTATGTGCCATCCCACTCCTCTGGCCTGCGTCTGCCTTCGCCTCCTCACACCGGGCACTGCCTGGGGTAGGGACCCACCCCTGCGCTAGGGCAGCGCCAGGCCCCTCTGGGGAGCCCCTGAACAGTCAATGGCAGAATGGGGGGCCTCGCCGGCCGAGGGGGGACTCACCTCCCAATGGATCCACTTGTACTGGGTGAGGTCGACCTGCTCAAAATCCTGTGCTGTCACATCTGGCAGGTTTCTAACCCACGGGAGGGGCGGGGGGGAGAGAACACAGGGGAGTCAGAGGGCGGGTGCATGGGGCCCCTGCTAGCAGAGAGGTTAGGGCTAAGAGGGACGGGGGGCGACTTTAGCCCCTGCAGTCAGCGAGCCGCTGGGGAATCTGGGCTAGCGGCCCCAGCAGGTGGGGAGTGCAGCTCCCAGGCAGTGGGGCCCAACACATGGCATGGCCTGCGGGCACTCGCACAGACCCCCTGGCCTGCTCGCCTGCACAGGGGGAGCCTGCCCCAGAGGACACCATGGTGCCCTGCTCCCTCTGCACGCTCGGCTGGCAAGGCCCCTGCCCATACAGGGCTCCTGGTGGGGTACGAAGGCCAAGCAACGGGGCAGAAGGTTGTGACAGTATGGGGCTCTGAGGGGCTGGACTCTGCCCAGCCGGGCTCACACCCAGCCAGGTAACCAGGCACCCATTCAATGATTAACCACAGCCTCTGGCAGAGGGGACGAAGGCAGGAGACCCTGGCCTGATCTCAAAGGGCATCAGCCAGACTTTGATCCCAGAGATGCGGACACCCTTCAACGAGGGGAACAGAGCTCAGTGGCACCGAGCCCCTGTGAATCACTAACCCCCTCTCCCACTTCTCCGGCTGCTGGATCCCAGCTCGACCCTCCTGCCAGCAAAAGGTTAACAGGGTCCCAGGGCAAAGTCCTGCCGCCTGGTCCCAGCAGGGCAGGAGAGACGGCCCCATACAGGAGCTGTGTTAACTGGGGGGGGCGGGATCTCCTCTGCTCCCCTCCTGTGCTGATGCCTTCTCCCGTGTGTTCTAATGCGCTGGGCCGGGCCGAGCTGAGCGGCCCCACAAAGACGGGGCTCACCCCGAGGGGCAGGCAGCAAGGGGCACCCCAGCCCGCCAGCCCTGGTCCAAGCGCACCAGACCACCCGCCAGGAAATGGAGGGACGGGGCTGGTGTGGGCCGGGCGAATTCCCAAGGGAGCATCCCTTCCCACGGGCAGAGGGGACCCAGTGAAAGGCCCTGACAGCCCTGCAAGCGCAGGGAGGTCACTGCTACAGCGGCCAGCCCAAGGTGCGGCACGGGGTGGCACAGGGTCCCCTCTGTACGCCTACCACCTGCAAAGAGTCACAGGGCAACCCCCCATAAGCCCTGGGGAGGCAGCGGGGGTCACACATGCAGATTTCCCTCCCTCCTCCGAAGACAAGATTGAGATGTGCCGATTATGGCAGTGAAATTACCGGGTGCTGATTGGTCAGCCAGGATTAGCATTGGCGCAGCTGATTGGCGTCTGCGTGCAGAATCAGTGAATGAATCAATCAGCCATGCGGGATGGGTCCCCTCTGACGGGGCAGCGCCGAGGCGAGACCTGAGGGCACAGGCCCCCGAGCCCCCGTCCGTGACAGGCAGGGCCCAAGGGCCTGGCACTGGGGTTCCCCCCGCGGGAGCCGCCTGCCTGCCAGGGGGGACTGGCGCGACGGCTCGGCGGATGTGCCCGGCCTTACGTGTCATAGAGCGTGACCGTCCGTGAGCCGTTGGTGCTGTTGACAAGGCAGCAGGCGCACGGCGTGTCCCCCTGGCTTTGCCACGCCACCTGCGCTACGTCCACACCCCTGCGTCGGAAGTCCGCCACGATGAAACTTAGCAGGGGAGGGGAGAGAACAGGGGGAGGGAGAGAGGGGTTAGATCCTGGCGGGCACAGCGGGCGCCGGGCACGGCCCCTACGCACCTGTTTGTGTGCAGGATGGTGCGGGTGCCCCTGCTCGCACTGCTGATGACGATGGAGGTGGGGAAGGAGCTCTCGGGGTGCGGGACCAGGTGGGTGAGCTCCACTGCATAGCGCCGCAGGTCGGCCAGGACGAAGCTGCCGGGGAGGGGGCGCAGAGAGGGTTAAGCGCGGGATGGGAGAGCCGCTGCCCTGCAGTGCCTGGGCGCTGGAGGGGAGACAGCAGGTCTGGGGGCCCAGTCAGTCCCCAGCAAACCTGCCCCACTGCACTGGGAGCCCCACAGACCACGATCAGCCAGCGCGGCACCCAGGCTACAACCGGGAGCAGGGGTGAAAGACTCTCCAGAGACCCCCCCAGCAGGGAGATGGGGCCAGCAAGGGGAGGGGCTCCCCAGGAAGGGTTGGGGGCTCCATCACTCCCTAGCAGGGAGATGGGGCCGGCAGGGGTGTTGGGGTGTCTCCTGGGAAGGGCTGGGGGCTCCGTTGCTCCCCAGCAGGGAGATGGGTCTGGCGGGGGGGTGTCTCCCCAGGAAGGGCTGGGGGCTCCGTCACTCCCCAGCAGGGAGATGGGGCCAGAGGGGGGGGTCTCCCTACGGGCCCTGTGGTTGTGGATAAACCCACTCTCCTGGGTGATGCTTTGGAGAACAGCCTGAGGATCTTGTGTCCCCTAGTCTCAGGGGAAGAGGCTGGATGGGACCCAGGGGAACCCTCTCATCTTGTTTCCATGGCGATGTAATTCACAGGGACCACCAGGAGAGCATGGACGCATCACACCAAAATGGCAGCTGGTCACACCACTTAGCAAGCAGATGTGGATTTTAGAAAAGCAGCAGCACACGCTAACCCCCTGCCGACGCTGCAGCAGATCCCCGGCCCCCGGCCCCCCTTGCCAGCTGGAAACGCAGACCCCAAGTGAGGGCAGTGCGGCCGAGGAGCCGGACAGCCCAGCCAGTGGGAAAAGGCCGGATGGAGCCCAGCTGGGGGGTGCCAGCAGGGCCGGCTCCAGGCACCAGCGTAGCAAGCAGGTGCTTGGGGCGGCCAATGAAGAGGGGGTCGGCACGTTCGGCGGCAATTCAGCGGCGGGGCCGTCACCCCTCTCGGAGCGAAGGACCCGCCGCCGAATTGCCGCCGTAGAATGAGGGGGCGGGGGGGGGGCCGCGGGGCGGGGTTGCTTCTTTTTTTTTTTTTTGGCTGCTTGGGGCGGCAAAAATGCCAGCGCCGGCCCTGGGTGCCAGCGCAGGCCGGGTAGGAACCCAGGGGTCACAAGCCTTTAGAGTCCACAAAACAGGGTAAAGGAAGCCCCAGGTCTGATCCGCCCCCCTCCCCTAGCACAAGGAGGCAGCCAGAGCCCCCGTGGTCAGCGGAGGCGTCACGTCTCCCCTTCCCGGAAAGGGACGGTCCTGCCTGCGGGCTCCCCGCCCCCAACGTGCTGGGCCCTGTCACCTGGAAGGAAGGATTCTCTCAGTCCAGTGTGCTGGGGGCCAGGCCACCTGCCAAGGTGCATAATGGTCCCCTGAGCTGTGCCCATGGCAGGATACTTGTGCTGGCTTGAGCACTCCGGCTCCCACCTCACTGCGGGCACGGTGATCCGCAGACCCCCCCCCCCCGCACCAGGTCCATCACTTACTCTGCTGCGTGTCCGGGCGCCAACGAGCCCATGAAGGCGCAGGGCGCCCCCAGCAGGGACAGCACGGTGCAGGAGTTTGAGGCATTGCCACCCCGCTGCCAGCGCTGAGACAGGCACCTAGAAGACAGACAGCCATGGCAGGGCGTGGCCGGGCACCAGGCTCCCAGCCCTGCACTGGCCCCAGTCGCTCCTGCTTGGCGGGATCCACACGCTGGAACAGGGCAGTTAGCTGGGCGTGGGATCGCAGAGCCAGCCGGGGGTTCCCTGCTGGCTGACGGGCGTGGGGTGGGGCAGAGGAAGCTCATGCCACCCCCAGGCCCACGTGCCAGGGCAGCCAGTTTAATCGGAGGACTGTTCATGCAGGGAGCACTTGGGGCTGGCTTCCCAGGGCAGCACCGCGGCCAGTGCGCTAGGCTGGCACCGCACAGGGGGAGCAGGTCGGAGGCACCCGGGGCCCGAGGGGTCTGCGCTGCTCTGCCCGGGAAGTCGGGCTGCAGGAGAAGCCATTTCTAGACGGTCGAGAGGGCGCCCGGATTCCCTGCTGGCCAGAGCCCCATTGCTGGCCCCGCCAGGTCCTGCTCCTGCCAGCTGGGTACTCTCCAGCCACCTGAACACCGGCTGGATTTTCCTGGCCCAGAGAGGGCCTGGGGCTAGTGTCTGAGCATGGGCCTGGCAGGCAGACCCCCCGATCTTACCCTGCCCAGCGCCAGGCTCCTGAGGGGGGCGGGGAGAACAACCCAGACAGTCTGAGCTGGAGCTGGTGTGACGGGGCTGCCTGCTGAGGGCCTGGCCAGGATGCTCGGGAAGTCCCTTCCCTCCAGCCCCACGTCCCTAAGTCCCAGCCCCCCTGCGCCTCACCCCTCCCAGCTGGAAAACTGAGCTGGGGAGGCTTAGAACCACACCAGGGGAAGGGCCCCGGGAACGTTATCTGTGACTGGCAAAGGCAACCCCCCCTGCCCATTCGTGGGACTGGCGCAGGGCTCCCAGAGCCTGCAGCCCAGGGGCTGGACCGGCCAACACTCCCAGCCCACTCAGCCCCTCTGTGCCCCCAATCCAGCCTCCCCACGGTGCTGCAGTCCCCAGGGAGCCGAGCCCCCCGTACCTGGTGTCCGTGTCCTCGGGCGGGTACACGTCCACCACACTGATTATGTCCAGGCAAACCAGGCCAACGCACAGGATGCGCTTTTCCTCCATGGATGGGCTGCCCCTCCGGCTCCCGCTCCCCGGGCACCTACCCCCTGCCCCTCCCTCCAGCTCCCGCTCCCCGGGCACCTACCCCCTGCCCCCCCCTCCGGCTCCC